GTGGGTGTGGGTGTGGGTGGGTGGGTGGGTGGGTGGGTGCTCGCACATACATGCGCATGCGCGTGCATGCATACATACTTCCGCGAATATGTGTCCATCCGTCCATCCCTCCATCCGTCTAGGCATCCGTCTAGGCATACATACATGCTCATACGTGCATACACACACGGCGACATGCATGTATGTGCTGGTACAATGCATACCTCCCTATCCATCTATATACCCGATTATTAGTTGCTCGTCTGCTGAGTGCATCCGTCCACTACGCGTCTTTACTCTGCACGGCGCCGTTGCTACTGCATGCCGCTTCACGAGTGTATGTACACATGTGTATACATATCAGAACACATGTATACCTTACACCAAGCCACTCGTCCAAGGCCTGCGGCATCTCAAATTCCGGCGCTTGAGCGCCAAGTGCAAGGCGAATTATGGCACAAGCTCTCTTAGGAAGGAGAGGTGGACGAAGAAGACAAGTCCAGTCAGAGACACGATTGATATTGTTGCCATGGTATCTACAGCTCATTGTATCTTTGATCGCATCGCCTACTCTTACGATGAGCTTTCGCCATGCAAGGTGATAAATTTTGCTTTGGTGCGAGCTCCCCCTAGATATTGCTGCATCAAATCTTATGCTGCTGACTCTCAGGAGATAACAGAGGGCCCTGGGCTAGAGCCGGTCCCTTGCTTGCGTTCCCGCTACCTGCAGCGTATGGTGGCTCTTGACATCAGGGCGGTCTGTTCATTGAAGAGATCTCGCGCATCCAAGCTTGAACCAGAGGCGGAAGTGGAAGATCGGTGCCTGGCGCCTTTGACTTCATTTCGTCTGCCCTGCCTCCACCCATGCGAGCAGAAACGCGAACGATGGCACAAAAAGCAACAACAGCACAACAAGGCGCGTGAAAGCGGTCATTGCGGATATCGGGCTCTGGCAGTAGAGGAATCTGTATCTGGCGGGGGTCAAATCAATGCAGATGAGGTGGTGGTACTGTGATTGTGTATTGCCAGCAGCTTCCGTATCCTGCGTACTTAGAGTTGCTCACATGGGAAGGCTAATCCTGCTCAGTCTCTGGCATAGGGAAAGGAGAAGATGAAAACTATGGCATTACCTAACCGCCGCATTGACGGCGATGAGTTAAGAGGTAGCATATATGCCACATCACCACCTATGCTCTGCCTATCCTGTAAACCTAAGCGCTGAAAACCGTTTCATGCAATTGAGGACCCCAAAGCACGAAAGTGCAGGGTGGCGGGATCGGCGCACATCAGCCTCAGATCGTTGGTTTTGCTGCGCCACTCGTTCGATGGGTGCTTAGAGGATTGGGGATCAGGGTCTTCTGCGCTTTCTGAAACTATTGCTCAATGCTGCGGATATGGAGATATATTAACCGGATGCTTACTACCAGCAGTCTCATCGATGTTCATGATCTATTAATGATATGGCCAGTTCTAGTGTTAGTCGCTCATACAATGATTCAGAACTTCCAAGTCCCGAAGAAGTGAATCCCCAAAGTGGAGACATAACTACTTAATCTTAACCCCTGCGTCCACATTCACTGAAGGCGAGCTGTCATCCCGATATTCCTGTCACCTACTCCTACACCCTGTAGGCCCTCAAGAGTAAATCCTCTGAAGAACCAAAATTCTAGAAGACCCTGCACCGTCTATCTCCTAGATCGCCTCCACCTAACCAAAACTCCTCGACCCTAAACAAACCCTAGAACGTCTGCATATCCTGAGTCCGAGCCCCTGCACTAAACTCGATGCTCGAAACCCTCTGCAGTAGACATGCATCCAACTGGGTAGTTCTGTACATTTCTTATACGGGTGCCGTACTATATTGGGGACCCAAAACAGGACCGTAATTTAGAGAACTACCCAACTGTAAACTCAACCGTGGTCCCGGCAGTGAGCCCGAAACCGCAGAGTCCGGTTGTACTTATACTACATGTTAGTATATTGCATAAATCATGTTGCTATTATGTTCTAGTATCTTGCCTTGAGTTATATTATGATAACCGTATACCCTAAACCCTGGCGTAGCCAAGGCCCCCGACATGGATTGAATCCGACTCGCCTCTGGGAAGTGCAGGGCTTCCAGAAGGCCCCGCGTGTAACCTGCTCATTCCGGGAAGGGAGTTTAGGGTTTATATGGGGGTTTCCGAAAATACCTTATTTTGGGGTCCTTATAATAAGGATCCTACTATTTAGATCTATTTAGGGTACTATATTAGGGTCCCCTATTTTCGGAAACCCCCATCTGGGGTCTAGAGCTTAACCCCAAACCCGTTTAGGGTTTAGGGTGTAGAGCTTAAGGAGCGGCATTGATGGGTTCAGGGCTTTCAATCTGTTCTACGGTTTCATATGTGCCGGCCCCTGGGTGGTCGGACGATCTTGTGGGGCGGCTGCACGGATCTTGGGCAACCAGATGGGTAGTTCTCTAAATTAGGGTCCCTTTTAGAGCCCTTTGCATAAGGTATATAGGGGACTTAAAAAGGGCCCCGAATGTAGAGAACTACCCAGATGGTTTCGTGCGACGTGAAAAGGAAGCGGGTGGAAGGCAGAAGAAGTAGACTTCATGAGCTCCCTGTATAAAAAACAGGGAACATTAGCTCGCCCAGCCCGGGCAACAAAGCCCTGTAACTTTCCTTCGCCCACAATAGAAGGGTGTCCTTAAGGTCACCATAATGCGGATGTATAGTCCAAAAACAAGGTTCCGTAACTATAGTAACTCAACTCCCGGCGGAGGCCTAGGGAGTGGAGGACTCCGAGGAGGTTTGCTCCTCCCATGCGCGTGGCGACCTCTCACTGCATTGAGACGGGTAGGGGTTTAGGGGCTTGGGGCTTGGGGGTTTAGGGTTTAGAGTTTACAGGTCTTGGTCTGGGGGTTTAGGCATTTAGGGCTGGGGCGGGGCTTCGAGATTGGAAGTCTGGGTGTACAGGATTTAGGTTAGAATCGAGGTGTACGCATTTCGGGACTTGGAACGGAGGTTCCAGGCTTTTTGCACGGAGGATAAACAGCACATCATTACACTCATGACCTTGAACTGCAAGCCACCCCCCACCCAAAAAGCAAGCAAGATGTCTGACATGTGAGCACCATCTGACTCGTACGTCCTGTATAATAATGCGGCTGCATAGTGACTGGATTGTTGTCGTTCTGGAAAAACCACCGTGAATAAGAGTAACACTTACATGGCCGAGATGATGGGACGCGTGACGGTGATACTGTCGCACAGCCTGATGGTCAAGCCACGCTGACGATGGTCATGCTGCTGGCGAGATTGATGGCGGCGACGAGGCGATATTGTTGATGATGATCGTGGCGATGGTGAGGATGTGCCGTACTAAGCTCTTCAAGGATTGCTTTGACGGGAGGTTCGGGCTTCGAGCCCTGAGACCCCCCAGTGGCCGCTCAGAGTCCGGCCACGAAGTCGGCGACATCTTTCAGCTTGATGGTGTCCGGAAGGTGCCCTTGCCTCTTGCATTGGGGGCTTCTCTTCAGGATCTCGGCCGCTTTTATGCTGAGCTGAGGGGCTCTCGGGAGCTCGGGGTCTCCCACGGATCACCCGTGGTGACATGGAGTCGCCAGGATTTTCAAGTGATGATAGTAAACTAACCATACCAGGCCATACCATAGCAGCGATCGCACCATCATCATGCTCACACCCATCATCATCACCACAGTGATTGTCGTCACAATCAGAGCTATCATCACATAGAGCCGGAAACGGTACATGCTACGGCCACAGCCAGCACTGAACAGTAACTGTCATAAACACGATCTCATCGTTTCCATTAGCCTTGATAGACACAAAGTTACAGGAAAGACGGACCGCATCTTGGTAGAAGAGGTGCTCTGAGCCGACCCCAGCAATGACGAAGACTGCTCCAAGGTTTCGTAGCGCACACGAACTCATGCAGGGCAGTATGAAGCTCCAGAATAGTACACCGCGAACAGTGCTAGCTGAACCGCAAGCCCTGAACCCCAACCCCTGAACCCCCAACCCTAACCCTAACCCTGCTGTACGGTAGACACGCGACAAGCACCCGAGGACCGCACGATGCGGCGATCAGCTCTCTCAACGACACCTGAAGACGTGCATGTGGTCAGGTGCAGAAACGAAACGGCCTGCACGGCTGCATGCAGGGGCAGCAGGTGCGGCATCCATCATGTGGTTGCCGATCCTAGAATCCTGGACTAAGATAAGACTTCACGAAACCCTGCCCCAATACACTGTACCATGAGTCATGTGCCATGTGCAACCACCAGATATCGTCTGCCATGTAGGAAACTAGGCCCATCGAGCGCTCTTCACAACATACACCACAATCTTTCCGAAGCTGAGGCAGAGGCATCGCTGCTCCCGAAGATGAACCACGGAGAGAGGATCAGTGGTAGAAACCTTTCGCGTTGAGCGAAGTCCTAAACTCCAAAGCCTCGACATCCTCTCCAAGAAGGGGCAAGTGCTGTCGGGTACATGTCTGTATCACTAGCACGCCGAATGGAACATCAAACGAATCCTCAGCACCTGATCCCCCCGAATCACGACATGCGAGCGAAAAGGGCCGTGCCTGTGCAACGCACCTGCAAAGTGCTGCCCAAGCCGGGCAGTCGTTTCGGAGTCCTGCGTACTTGTTCTCTCAAAGCCCGCAACCTAAAACCCTTGAAGCCCAGAAGAACTGCGCCATAAGGACGTGTCGGCCAGCTGAAAGCTGTAGAAATGCCAAGTCAGCCGCGAAGCAGCCATGCGACGATTCCATTATGTATGTATCTTATCAAGACACATGCACACACACACACACACACACACGCACAACGGCCTGGCTCTATGCATACGAAATACATTCAGGTAGAGACCGATGCACTCGCAGGTTTGCATCACCGGGCTTCCACAAGATCAGGTCCATCAGTTGCTGACGGAAGCATCGCTCAACTTTTTGTGTCGCGAAACGAGGTGCTAGGCCCTAGGCTATAGCTGCAGAAGTGAACATCTGCGGGTGTGCAAAGTGTTTCTAACGATCAGTTTGATTCACGGTCCAGGGCCACAGGGCCGGTCGAGTCATGGTCTTCTGTCCTGCCGCATTGGTGGCTCGAACCGTGAACCAAACCTTCCACAGCGATTCCGACCATCCACAACAGCACCGAATTAAACAAAACCTATAATCATCAACACTCCACCAGCACGGATTGAATGGCGGAAGTCAAGTGTTGAGTCTGAATCGCCGCGGTCGCGCAAAATCTGGCCCAGTGTGCTACTCCGCAGTGCTAAGCACTTCTGAAGTCTCGAATTCTGGGTTTAGAGCTCTGGTCGTTAACAGCTCCCTGCGTGTCTCCACTGTACACCGAATACAGCTGAATCACTTCCCTCCTGGAAAGGGCTGAGGGTTTAAGATTTAGGGCCTCGGGTTTAGTTGGGGACGACAGGGATATTTTTTGAATAAGCACACACACATATATATATATATATATATGTGTATATATATATATATACACATACATGGATATAATTGTTATAGGAAGCTCATATGCTGTTGTATTAAAGTCAACAAGGTAATACTTCAGCGGGCATTGGGGGTCCCCAGCTTCTACACAAACTTAAGATCTGCGCTACGCTGACAGAAAGGGTTTAGGGCTGTGGGGCTTTAGGCTTGTAATTGCGAGGGTTTGGGTTGTGGGGGTTTAGGGTTTTAGGCTTACCTTCCCGGATCTTGCTATTCAGGAACCCTTCTCAGAGTCCGGTAGTGCACTGGGCAGCGTCATCTCAGTTGATCTGAGGTCCGAACCTATCTGCCCTCTCCGGCAGCTAAGATGTAAGGCCCCAAAGGGTGCCGTGATACATTTTCTCTGCACGTCCAAAAGTGCACCAAAATGTGCCCAAGCCTTGAAACTCCTTTGCACAGCTGTTCCCTGACCGACACTTGAAGGTTCAGGGTTACAGAAGCGTCACTCCATGACACCTTGGCTAAATGTGACGCGGTGACTTCCTCTTCTGGACGTTGTGGTGATCGGAACTCCAAATCTACACCTAGGGCCGGTCCCACAAAGGTTCAGGGTCCATGGGGAGCGGCTGCTTTGAAGAAAAGGGTACAAGTGTTGGTGTTTTGCGGTTACGGGTAAAGGGCAGGAAAAGACACTACAGGATCCGGCCTGGGGTTCTTGAAGAAGGCATGATCATCGGCAATATTTCCCCGGTACCTCCGACAAAACGCTGCAGTACAGCCCAGGTCCACAACCCGGGGGAATTGATGCTAACTTCTAAACGGCGTGCCTGGCAAACATTCAGACTCGCCACCTAAGTTCACCAGAGCCTAGGAACTGCAAATACTCAACGTGTCCTTGCTCCTTAAACATACTGCTTCGAGCCTGAAAAAGAAGTCAACACTGAAAATGTGACCTGTGTCCAGCAGGTCACTGTGGGAAGATGCAGCCTAACGAAAGGGGAGATGTCCAGTCTGCAAAGGGTGCCTTACTGCATGGTCATGGTGTGCTTAAAAGATCTATCTGGACCTCATCATGGAGAGCTCCCCTACCAAAAACTGCTTGCACAAAGACAAAAGTTGCGGCAAGTCAAACAGCCGGAGTTCTAATTCGGCACTGGGATCTTCGAGCTTCCCGATCCCATTTTGCTTTGGGACTCTGGGGTTCGGGCCTCCTTTTAAAGGGGGGGGGGGGGGGTCCTTGAAAGAGGAAGCTGAAGAGCAATGAGGGCTTCAATGACCATGACAATTATGGTGAGAGCAAGGAGGGTTGTGTGAGGGGAGTGAGAGGTGCAAGACTGCTCGACCAAGGTTAGATACAAGTCGAGATTCCCTGATGGCTGAATGCCTGGCGGCTCTTCCAAGCTGTCAAATAACACTGCAACTGCATTGGCTCGGCCTTCCTGTTGTGCTCTACCACTCGGGATTTCGGATGTGCTCGAAGTTCTGTGGCTATGCGCTCATCCAAGAAAGCAGAGGTCAGCGTTAGCTGAGCCTGAGCTCGATGTTTGCAGGCAATAGGTCCCATCTGCAAGGCTCACAGTAAGACGGGAAACGCGATCCCTGCCGAGCCCCGGGCATGAATTGGGCCTTCATGACCCATACTCGAAAGTTCCGTGCTCCGACTTGATCGTCACCCTCTTCCTTGCGGACGGATGGTCTAGGCATTCTGGGGCCAACCGATAGTCTTCAGTGCTACTGCCACTCCTTGACACGGGGCGCCAAGAAGATAGACTTGCTGGGATGTACTATGATCAGTAATTACCCACGCTATCCCTGCACCTACTTCTTCTTGCGATTCACTGTGTGGAATGCTGATTGTCACCTGCCTGGGGTGTCGCAGACAATGTTCCCAGTCCCAGTGTAGCTGCGCGCATGCAGAATCAATCCCCAATGATCCAAAGTGCTGCTCGTATTTTGCAAAAGTCACAGTAATGTAATCATTCTGACGTCAATCCTCATAATCGAACTCATACCTGTGCAACCACTCTTGCAACCAGGAGCAGGCCCAAATCCCCTGACCCGGATGCTGAGATGCAGGCTTTCCCGGCTCCAACCCCTCAACACGTCCGATCACCTGGAAACGATCCCGGGCTTAAGATTCAGGGATTTGGGCCTGGGGCCCTGGGGTCTGGGGGGCCCCGTTCCTTCTGCAGAGTCGGAAAACCTCTACGGTGGAGCTCGCGGGTTACCCAGTTGTAATGTTGAGGGGGCAAAAGGACGGTGCTCGATACAGCAACGGCAGCAACAGCGCGTCCTACGAGAGGATCTTCTCGCTAGCATACACATGTGCCGCGGAGAAGCGGGGAGGGCCCCAGGCGAGTTTACATGGACAGTGCGGCGAGGCAATTAACCTACCGTTCATTCCTGGTTCCCTGTTGGAGCTATATTAAACATGATCACCTTTAATCCTTATTGCGTTTTATTACAACCAGAATGTAAAATTGTAGCCAACAAGGACCCGGCTTCCGTTTCAAGCAATTGAATTTATGAGATCGTAAAGTTCCGGTGGAGGAGCCTCCCGAGCCCGAGGCTTGCGCTAGGAGTCTACGAGGGAAACGGGGCTGCACCAGCCTCACCTGCTAACTTCATGCTGTGGCGAACTCATTTCCGGCTGGAGTACCCATCTAATGTAGGGACCTGAATAATTAGAATAGGGTTTTCGGTGGCTCCTTATTGTAATTATTTGTAATTATCAGTACAATAAATACCCCAAACCCTATTCTAATTATTAAGGCTCCTATATTCGGATGTAGAACTCTTGAGGTTGAAAGTTGAAACTGTCGCCATGAAGGTGCAACGTTTCAGATGTGGCCTGCGCGGACACACCGAAGGACTGGGAGATGTCCATGATCTTCGCGGCCGCTTCCTTCCCCGCAACGTCTACAGTTGAGAGTTTAGGCTGCGGGGTGCAGAGCTTGACCGAAACTTGGGGCTTAGAGCTTGACTGCCTGGAAAGTGACAAATGAAGCCAGACTACAACTCTCAGTTCGGCTGTGTCAACTCTCACATTAATTACCTTCATCACTGCATCAAGCCCTGAAGCCCCAAAAACCTATGACCTGTCATCCGTAAACAGTTTCAGGTCAGCACATGGCTGATGCATCTGGCTGGACGACAGCCGGGACTTCAACGACAACAACAGTCACAAACACGAAACGAAGACCACCACCACCACCACCACCACCACCACCACCATGGCAACAACAAAAACAACAAGAATAATAACATTATGATGATGATGATGCTGATGATGATGATGATAATGATAATG